TCATCAGCGCCCACTCGCAGGGCTCAATCCCATGCACTGATACATGGGGAGAACGACAAAAACAACAGGATAAAGGCCCAGAAGTTTGATGCTATAAATCGCCGACCCGCGTGATCGGATGTTCATTTATATCCCTTCACAGTAGAGCAATAATATGACTTTGCAAATCTCACGCCCCGGGCGAAACGTACGTTTCCCTTTATATACTGCAGAATGGACTGAAAAAAGAGAGCCATTCGTGATTGCCAGCTAGAGGAAAGCCGAGATAATAATAATAGAAAAAAAAATTCTCTCCCCTTTTTTTTGTAGAAGAATAAATAACGCTTATCTCAATAATCACTCTATTGGATTCTTGCTTTTCATACCCACGACAGTCAATATGCCCACAAGATTGCTATATGTCGAAACAAAACTTTATGCCTCTATATAGGGGCATATGTCAGTGGCAAAAAATTGTACTGCCTATTCAGTTAGCACTCAAATAACTTCAATCGCAGTTGCCATCGGTACATACACACCCACACTCGGCCAAACACATCCAGATATCGCTAACATCCGGGCGTCCGAGTTCCGAATCCAATGAAAACACACGCGAGGTCAGATCATCCCAGGATTTCTGCTGTGTAATCCTGATCTTAATCAGATCTGACTTCCTGTTAGGTGGAGGGATTTTGTTGTATGCACATGTTGCATTTTAGCTGCTTGTCAGGCATATTTATAGCTCACTATTGCACCAAGCCTGCTAATCTGCTATCCGCTGTAAGCTAGCAGTGGCAAATAGGACGCAATAGCTATAGCTGGAACGAATAGTTGAAAATTATTCCATTTTTTTCGTTTCGTGTATGGATAATGCATATGTTTTTTTTTTATTAAATAATCCGAGCGTAATGTGTTTCATAAGCGATCATCATATACGGTTGATTCAAAAGATACATAGGTTTCGCTTATATCTGCCTCAGCAACATGTTTTGTAATTATAACAGCTCATAAATGAAGGTGCGTCAAGAAATGCCGGCAAAAAAAATGCGACAACTCAATATTTCTTCAATGGATTCAATAAACAATTAAGTAGGACAATGCTCCAGTCAAGGGACTTGTTGTATTTATGAGATTTGCCTCGTATTTCCAGTATGATGTTTGTTCAAACCTTCATGTGAATCCCAAACCCATATTCTTGTTCCGTGTAACAATTTCGGCCAGCTTCAGTAAGTAGGTAGTACTCATCACGTGTACACAGCCCGATCTATACATGTACGTGAATTAGAGGGATATGCACTGCTTATTATCGTATTGGCTAAACACAATACGTTTGACGTTATTCACTTACGGTTTGACGGAGCACTTCGAAAAAAATCTGAAGCATTGACTTTGAAGGAGCAAACCGTACAAAGCATGTATGCTATGGTGGTCCAACGTATAGTGATGAGCCAAACTAATTCGATGCTTATTAGAAATTCAAATATTGCGTCCCGGCAATAGTTTCGACGATGTTTTTACAATGTATATTGCTCTTAAAAAATGTTTTAGGCAACAGAGAGGCAACAATGAGGTCGTCGCTATTCGTTAACGGTAAGTTGAAAGCGACCGAGTTTTCGACGCAGAAGTTGAAAACCCAAAACTTAAATGGTTATTTCTGAACGAGAAGAAGGTAGTGCCAATTGCAGATGCGACTTCTGCATAAGTTCTCGACAGTTAACAGACTCACAATTGAAAACTGGTCAACGTATTTTAATGAAAGAAAACCTTTACAGCGTTCAGCTAAATGGATTTTGCGTTTTGCGGATGTGTCAGAAATCGAGTACCCTTGTAGACCCATATGATGACTAGGACTATGTTTGCTTTCTTCGGTTTCAACAGTGACAGTTAATTACATTTGGCGCAAGTAAAAATTGCGTCAAATAGAACCAATTGCCTCAAAATAGCAAAGTACATTGCGACCCCAGCTCTTCTGAAAAAGCTATTTTCTAAACATCTGTAGAAGGGGATAAACGCTCATGTAGACTAACTGTGTCTTAGAATCATTTAATACTGTTAGTGAAGTTACCCTATAAGTCTAAGTACGCGATTTCCTACATTCGATCATCTCTAGCCTAGTTCTATCGTAGTTCCACATATCTATGTGCAATCATTGACATATCTATGCTCTCTTTTCTTTTTACTCTTATGGAAACCATAACAATGGTACAATTAATTTTTGTTCCTATTAAGAACATTACTCTGAGTCGAGCTAATTCGCAAGGACTACAAAATAAGAAGATGGCCATGATGTACTATAGGCTCATTGGCACAAAGCAACTTGTCCACCCTGCCAAGATGCTTAATCAAATTGCTCTTGACACTTTTCCTCTTTGGATCCTCATCGACGTCCTTTAGGTACACGACATCGTGGCAGCCTCGTGTGTTTCACGAGGCGTGAGCGGGACGAATGGTGAAGTTTTCAAGCTTCGCACTAACAATTTGCAAGTGATGGCAGACTCCGCCTGTTGCTAACGTCACGATTTTTCGTTAGCTCGCGTTCCTTTTCTTTTTTTATAGTACTGATCTGCCTTCGAGTGGTAACAATTATTGTGCCTAGCAGCTACAGAGAAAGCTACAAGCACCCGACGCAACAGCGCGGTAAAATAGCAATCATAGTCTTGTCGTTGAAGGCATGGAAAAGTTTCGCGAAGGCCCCAGCAGTAGAAAATGAGTGAGTGTCACCGAGAAACCCGCGAAAAAGAAAGAGATAATTGTCTGGACTGTTTCGTATAGTTTTTTGAAAGGAGACCGTAAACAAGTGCGGAGTTGGCAACCAGATCCGACCGAGCAGAAGACTGCCAGAGGGAGGCTAACGGAACTACAACAGCTAATACAGTAATACCGCTGCCTGGCAGTTGTTAGTAGAAGAAAAGACACGCGTCATTTCAAACGAACACTAAAGGACACAGGATAACACATGGGCAATCGAACAAAAGGAGGATGTGGGGGAACGAGCGAAAAGGCAGGAACTTGCAAACGAAACCGATACGTACACTGAAATACTATTACGGTTCAATAGAAAGCTGGTGAATCCTGCGCATGGCAGGCCTTTGTTATACCCTCGCTCTGGGAGCCCGATATTTATGTATAGTAGCTAGAAAAAGCATTGTGCTAACAAGAACTGTGTTGGATGTTTGAATTGAATTCATCTTGCTTTACCCTTTCATTAACGTGTATATATATATATATATATTCTAACCAACAGATTCCGCATAGGATTTGTCGCTATGTACAACAAGAGAGTTGAGTGATAATAATAATAGTAAGTATAATGAGATAACAAAGAGCAATGCAGCAGATATTCGTACAAACGAGTCCGACCATAAAAATAATAACGTTCATTATTGCTCTTAGGAATCGTAGTAGTTCCTCCGACAACACTTACCACAACTACTACCATAATGGACCAGTGAAGTTTCAACGAGCCGTATATATGACTGCATCGTCTAGCTATTAGCTGACACAGCATAACCTTCTACCGCTACCACTACTTCTGCTGCTGGGTCAGCTATCCAATCCGTTAACCTTAATCCGACTATCTGGGTCGGTGAATATACACCTACCGACCCAGCCATCCAATTAACCCGTTAACCAAGCACGGATTTCTCTTCTGCTTGTCCATTCATGTGTTCACTAAATTCGTCTTTGTCTAACCCCTGCGGTCACCCAATTCGGGCTAACTGCGACTATGGTAAATCGTATACAGCACACTAAATGCGCGGCCCTTTTAGCGACTCGCAATGCACTCTACTGTGCATCTTTATTTCGTCTAACTAGTCTGATCGTAGTTATCACTTGAATCATGCAACTTTACGCTACCTACTCTCGGTTATCCAGCTGTTCTACAAATGAGTACAGCAGTTAGCACTTAACAGCCAGCACTGCCAATAACAGTTGATGTCATGGTCAACTGAAGTCGCAGCGGAAGCGGGCGCCTCGTCCGAGCTCCTTCCTCCCTCGCTCTGATGCCGTCGCCATTGCAGCTCTGGAATTATGCCGATGTGTAGCTAGCTGGTCGTTGGGCAACAAGGTTCCTGTGCAGCAACACTGCCACTCCCAGAAGCGGTATCACAAAAGTAGTGTGGTGAGCGGCGGCAATAGAACTATAGGTGGCATGACGACTACAGGGTATGACGACGACTCAGCATCAAGATTGCAAACGACGTTCGTTCATTACACTTCATGATGCCGTCTGCTACTACCCGGCATCGTTGCCACGAGGAAATCGAGAGATTCGATTTCATCCTAAATACAGCCCCAGCGACCCAGTTCCACCAGTGTGGTTGTCATTAGCGCCTGTATACTATGCGTGAACCACATTCGTCGATGACAGACTGGACCTACATATTCTTTACTCCTAGACAATCGACACACGTCGATCCTGACTGACAAGTGAAACAAACAGACGGGTTTCCTCTTTCTCTGTCTATTTCTTAGCCCATAGGAGCTAAGTAAGCTTGCTGATAAATGACAAAAAACGGAAGACGAAAAAAAAACAAAGTCAGACATAATGAGAAAATAGAAGAGCACTACTACTGCTTTTGCTATCTGCTTAAACCTTGACACGCCAATAAGGCGGGGTTCAGCCTCCTTCGACTGCTGAATAGTGTCAATACGTCAAGATGCTCAGCTTGTATTGATAAACTTGCGTCGAAGAAACTCTGACACTCCTAACTACGCCACCTGTGCACTGATGTGCTCGTTTTACCTGAATCAATTTAGAAAATGCCTAACCGCTCAATATGGCCAAACGCTAGCCAACTTATTCTGAACAATAGACTATGGCCACGGTATTCGAAGTCAATAAGGGCTACGTTATCAAGAACAATCATGCATTATTCTATAAATTTAACGCTTCGAGGAAAACAATAGCGAAACATAGTGAATAAATCTGATTGTACTAAATAAAAGAAAACGGTAACAAACTGTTACTTCGAAGTTCTACTGTATCCGTTACTTCCCTTTCGAGTTCGCCAACGTACCTTGTTGTTGTTGTTGTTGTTGCTGCTGCTGCTGCTGCTGCTGTTGTTGTTGCTGTTGTTGTTGTTGTTGCGGCGGCGGCTGAGGAGGAGGTGGAGGATGTTGTGTATGAGGAGGATGTTGCTGCTGTTGTTGTTGTTGTCGGGGGTTATGTTGTTGTCGGTTGTGGCTACTGCCACCATCGGGACACCCAGCACCATCATGGCTACCCCCGAATTTGTTACTTGCCCCACCACTACTAGCAGCAGCAGCAGCAGCAGCCACATTACCCCCAGCCCCCTGGTGATATCCTCCTCCACCTGCACCGCTTTGATGATATCGAGGGTGGGTTGCACTTCGTGGTGCTCGTCCAGCGCCTCCCCCGCTACTGTTTAAATGCGAGGATATCGAGGGTAGTTGCACTACGGGACTAGGATTGCTGCGCGGAGGGCTTTTTGCTGTCGTCGTCGTCGTAGAGCAGCTAGCCATAATCGGTGGTGGTGCTGTAACCTGTGCGGTAGGTGTCGCCGCCTGGACAGGAAATCCAGCGGCGGCAGCGATGGGAATGGTCTGGGGCGTCGTTCCAACATGAAGACCTGATGACGACGACGCTGCTGATGAGTGGGGAGGCGTAGATGAGGTCGATGAATCTCTTCCAACTCCGCCTAGTGAACGGCAGCACAAAGGGAGAAATAAAATAATTGGTAAGCAATGGTACCAGCATGTACTCATTGGCGCCTCTAGTTTACCTTATCAGGTTGAAAAATGTAAAGTTAAGCAACATAGCAGCAAGGTGATTAGTTCAAGTCAGATTTTCCTGCAAATCAGACTTACTATTAGTCAGCTGTCGTACTCTGGCGAGACGAAATGCCACGTCGTGATATTCCGCCTTTTCCTTAACTGCTGTCACTTCAGCTGTTATAAGCGCACAGACGTCAACAAGCAAGAACCCCAAAAACATTTAATAGAACAAAAATGTATTATCAACCACGTATGTTTACCGAAAAGAATGAGACAGCTATATACCATGTTTCGACCCCGTCGATCAGCTGACTCTGTTGTTAAAGGAGGGTATTTCCGTATCGTAGGCAAAATTTTCTGAGAGAAACCGAACCGTAATTTCGGCGTCCACCCTTCAAAACAAAACTGTGCAGTTTTTTAGTCGTTTTTTTAAAAAGACTACGGGGTTTAGCCGCTCACATAGCCTAATCTTGTTTATCGTGTACAATTTACTCATGCTTGAATATAGCTGTGTATACCTGTGCTCGTAACTATATTTCTTAACTTCACTTCATTGACAACCGATCGTAGAAAAGAGACCCAATACTCGACGGCCTCTGAAATTATATGAACTTCCGAGACTACCAAGTAAAATTCGAAGCCATAATCCAAAATCGATGCCTGTTAATTAAAACTGTCCTTTTTATCTTGTTTTTTTTTTTTTTTTTTTTTTTTATTGATTTCTACCCTTTGCTCGTGGACTGAATTTCAAGGGAACAGTCGTTCAAATATACAATTAGTGGACTGAGATACAAAGAGGGTCAATAAGTTAAAGGTGAAATCTTCTGGGCAACTTACTGTGACACGTTACATGTAAGAGTAGTTCGTTCATTGGTGTATCAGTGGATCACAACTAAAACTGTAGATCGATAAGTCAGAGGGGAAGGTTTTTAGAAAATGTACAGAAATACTATGTTTCATTGCAATCGATTGTAGATAATCCGTTGGTAAATCAATTGAGTAAAGTTGCTAATTGATCCTTCCAAGGCCGTATACCACTTCTCTCTACCAAGCTACTCATCACTGTCTTCAATATTTGCCTTTGTTGGACATTTGTCCAACAAAGGCTGGGGCTCAGGCCTTACTAAGTGCTCAGATCACACCTATCCATATGATCGGTTGACAATCAATGGTTGGTTACCGTCCTCTGGATTTGGCTATTGATGTTTCAATACTGTAAGCTTCCACAGCGGCATAAACAAAAACACAATTGCTTCTTATATAGATAATTACCATGCGCAAACATAAACAATCACTAAACAGGCTATTAACTATAAATTGTTAACGACCATAAGAATAATAGCAAACACTAATTAACATAGGCATACAAACGCCAAGTACACTGTATAGTTAGTTTCTGTGTGTGGGCTAAGTATACATCTAGAATGGCACTACGCTAGCAAAAAGCAAAAGAAAGAGCTGTATGCTCGCCGGGGTCGTTATTAAGAAACTACAACGTGTCCATCAATGTAGTTCATCTACAATATATACATGTAGAATTATACATAATTCTTGAAAGTAATACATTACTTTCATTAGAAAAGATTTTTTAAAATCGCATATAAAACATTAGTGCATTTCGACATTACTGAATATCTCTGCAATAGGTAGTATTGAAAAAACCGTTTGCCGGATAATGATATAGAGTTGTATGATTGTTGAAATAAAAATTAGTAATATCAGTAACAACGGTGTTATTACCTGGCCTTGCTTGTAATTCCATCGTTTATAACTTTTGTAAAAAAAAATCGGGTTAGCTCTCGGCCCAGTGGACGTCTACAACGATAGTAGTTGCGTCGGGTTCATTTTCGCTGTCGTTTCTATAGGCCCTTACGACTCAACGTAAAAGCGGAGAACACATCAATTCATTGTTTTCTGTTTATTATATTGTAGCTGAGGCATTCTGCCCCCGGGCTGACCGCCATGGATTGAAGCACGTCTACGCAGTCGGGTGCACGTAACTATGTCCGTATCTTTACATACAATTGTTACTCTTTTACACAGTTTCATATTTATGGTACACGCTGTTACAGTTACATTGTAAATAACGATGACTAGAAATAGATATATCAGATAACAAACAGCGAGAGTTGAAACAAAAGCGTTCGAGGTCTATTCTTTCAACACTTTCTACTAAAACGAGTAATGGCCAACTACTGGACAAGTTTTCTTCATCAAGTAATCTTCTGCCGTCAAGATTATGTCTGTATAGCCTTTCGAAAATATCGCATATCTCGAGTCCTGCCGGATCGGCTTTGGTGTTATTTGAAAACTTAAATTCGGTAGTGATAAATGCGCTAAACTTGTTCGAATGCTTCTTTTGCTATGATTGAAGATCAGTGAAGTTTTTACAAAAAAATTCGCTTTACTTCATAATTAAATTACGGAAAATATAAAGGCACATGAAAGGAACATAAAAATATATGCTGTTTACGGACAACCAAACAAAGCCCAAAAAAACCAAACCAAACAACTCAAAAGATGTCTGAAAACCTCGATGTGAAAGATGATCTCAGTAGTGGTCGACCAATTGCGGAAAAGCTAATGACATCATTACGAAAGTTAAATAAAATTGACTCGTTTAAGTAGCCATGAACTGGTGACATCGCCAAGGAACTAGACACTGATTATAACACAGTCTTCAATTCATTGAAGACAGTTGACTAGAAAAAAAAGCTCAATGCTTCGGTGCCACGTGAATAGGCGCAAAAAAAGTTCACACAAACGTATCTACATTTACTAAACTCCATAGAAATCAAGCCATCTATAAAATTATAGATCACGGGTGGATTACATGCGACAACAACAATAAAAAAAATATGCCTTGTAAGCTGCGGCAGAGCCTAAAATAGCATCAAAAAAAGGTGGTGCTACCTGTTTGATGGGACTGGAAGGGAATCGCGCACTGAGCATTGCTGTCGCCTGGAAAAATTGTTGTAACAAACCTTCATTGCCAACAAGGATCAAGATTAAAACAGGCTTTAAGAGCCTAGTCTAGAAACGAAAAAAAAACGACCGGAACTAGTAAGCAGAAGAGCTGTCGTCTGCATGACATATCACATACATTTTTAACTACCCGGCAAAAATTGATAAAATTTAGGTGGGAAGTTTTAATGCGTCAGCCGTATGGTCCAGATCTTGCATCGTCAGACCATCATTTGTTTTCGTTTCTGCAGACCTTTCTTAATGGTGTTCATTTTACTTCAATGAAGGGATGAAGAGAAAAGGCACAGGATTTCTACGATGATAGGATGTAGTGCTACTAGAGAGGACAGATGCTATCGATCCAAATGTGGCATACTTAGTTTGATAATATTATTATAAAATGTTACAAATAATCGTTTAATTTTTGTTTGAAAATTATTGATTCCCTACAAAAACCCAATACACCGACTTCTTCTCTGTTACCGACAATGCGCGGTGGTTCGAAAACAGCTGGAATTCAAAAAATACATTAAATTGAGATAGTGTTTGTTGAACGAATGCTCAATAAACTTGAGTGAGAACTCTCGGAGCAAGACGTGTATAGTACGCTAGATACAATCGCATAGTAGAAATCTCCGGATTAGATCAATGTTTCATCGGAATGAATGCTAAATCTGAATGAAATTAGCGTTCTTTTCTGATCGCATAACGTTATGCTACAGAATTGTTGCTTGCAATAAGGGGCTAATCTAGAATACCAATCGTGTAACAACGTAATGCCGACCCTACAAAGGCTGGCAGGACCGAAGAACAAGCGAACTTGCCCCACACCGACGTCTGGGCTCGAACGTCGTTTTTTAAAGCAGCGTTTGCCATTGGGCCCCTAAGCTGACCAGCGTTGCCATCCGGCCAAGTAGCCACTACAAGCGTTACCCAAGATGACTAAAAAAAAACCTCAAACCATGTGAAATTGTGTTTATGGCCTTTAAGAAAGCCTAATCACTTCCACGTTTCTCGTCATCTGTTGTCAGTCTATTGCATTCGAAATCGATGAGTAGGACAACATACGAGGAACAGGCGGTAGACTGACCACAAAAAGTGAAGGTGCCCAATAGTTTTCAGGGTGCATCGGTCTGTTTCGACTGAATTTACCTCAGGTATTAAAAAAAATGGAAGATCTCTCAATGCACAATCTTTCTGTCCGTTTAAATATGCTAGCTAGCTAGCTCTCTGTATGCGTTTACAAGGGGAGTAACAGCGAGATGAGTCGAACGTATATAGTATCCAACTATTATAATCGAAGATAACTAATAGCAATACTAGGTAACATAAACAGCTAAAAAAAGACCTTCTAAATGATCCGTTTAGACACACAAAATCCATCAATTTTGCATCGTGCTAAATAAACGTTCAAGGTGAACTTATGCAACGACAACTTTTTACCGAATCATCAATTGTTATTTATGACAGTTTAAGTTAACCTAATAGCATCATCGTATGAGTAAAACACAATCAAGACATATAACAATTCCGTTTAACCTCGTACACACAAACACATGTAAATAACAACATGTGATGAGAAATAAACCAGTCGTAAATATGAGGAATCACGCTAGCTAGCTAGCAGAGACATGGTTCCCTGAAATGTATGTAACAGTGCAAAGACTAATAACAATAATTCTACTAATATCCATAATAATGGTGGCGCTATTAGCGCTGATGGCAAATTCTGAAATAATAACATCGACGCTTGCCTGGTGCCATTATTATTGTTATTGTTATTATTATATCGACTCGTGCTGGCCCAGAAGCAGTGCGCCCTGAACAACAACTGATATAAACAGCAGCACCAGTCACAGTCGTCATCACAACGAACAACAGAAACGCTCGAAATGTCAAAGTGCAATTCCTCTTATATTCTTATTGCGGAGCGATTTTCTTCACGTGATAAATAATCGGTGCTTTTATTATTTGTTTTGATGGTCGTTGTTGCAATGCTGAATGTGTTCCTTCACCCCATAACAGTCCTATAGAGGCATTGCCTTCATGCTAAATTTTGCAGGCCATCTGCGGGATTTCTCTAGTGATACTCTCAGGTTGCTCGACATCGCTATCTATACAAGTTTCAATCTTCGTGAGCCTTGTGAAGTTTGTTGCCGGCCGTGAACATATCGACGTAATTATTATTAGCGTAACTTCAAATGCCGAAG